CATCATTCTGAAGCACTCTTTCAAACTCAAGTATAGGAAAAACGGTCAGAACCAAGATAAGGACAGTGAAGCACCGGTATTTGCCATTACGTTTTGATGTTCATGATTGTGGTTGTGACTTAGATGATGATGATCACGATGATGACGATGAGAAGGCGAATGAGGGGGATGAAGATCGGTAAATTATGGGAGCTGTCAGTATGACGACAAACAGTTCAATGACGGCTATGGTGAAAGGAGGAAATCAAGTGATGTGACCCGGAATAAGAAATGAATGGGAGAGCGAAAACTTTAGAATCATAGATATTGGCATGCAGTGTTAAAATGTAAATGGGTGGAGCTTTGTCTGCTTCGTACTTTGGTTTTTTCACCGTCATCAATGGTTTGGCTGAGAAGGTGAATACGTTCGTTAGGTTCATCGAAGATCATAGATGACGGTCCGATATCGAATCGACGGTCCTGTTCCACTATGTACTATACAACACATACATCAGAGATGATTGAGGAATTCTCAAACGATCTGATGTGGTTAAATCATCGTTCGTAATGGTTGGTATTGCAGTAATACCTTACATGTACTTCCTTGGATTGAGGATCGCATACAGAGCAGCGGATAACTGTGACCACATTGAATTACCACTGCGTTCATTTCTGGGATGTTGTGCAGATGGCCAATTTTGTTTGTTTTCAAAAGGCACGCCGCAAAACAGTACAAGTTCGTTCGGCGTCAGAATGGACTGCCCGAATAGTGTTTGTCTCTGAGACATCCGCATGCTGGCCAGGAGTCTGGACGTGAGTCGGGCCGTGAGGAGAAGAATGATATCCGAGTACACCATGTAGAAGCGTGCTGTGGGGCAAATTTGAATAATCCCCCCTCTACAGTAGTCAAAATACTTGCTAATGTCCCCCCAACTTGACAACCTAAACTAAACGACCGGAAACCCTGAGGCAATTTCTCGTTGTGGTCTTAATGGGAGAAACTGGGAGCTAAAATAAGGGCGTTCCAATCACAGATGAAATGAACCATTAGATCGCCGTATCACAATTTGCATTATTCAGTCCCAAGTAAGGAGGGTTTCCCTGAAGCTTGACAACCACACAACTCAGTAGTAAAAAGCTTGTTTTGCTTTCACATGTTGATGATGGTGATTGGAAACTGCCATGCCATACTATGCAGTATTATACAAATATTGCTCTCACTCAGTCGGTAGTGGGAGATGAGCAGAATATTGGTGGAAACAAATTTGCCAGCTTTTCTGTCGAAGAAACTCTACTTTGAATCATTCTTTGAGACCGCTGATAGAAACAAAGCTGACAGCAAGTCGTTAACATGCACGGCAAAATCTAGACAACTGTGATGGTGACACAAAATAGGGTAGTGCTTTGATTGGCATGACGCGAATAAGAACAACGATAAGCTGGAGGTAAACTCGAGGCTGGCATTCGACTGGATCCG